ACTCTCTCATAGGCGGAGTGAGGCCTACCACTCCCACTTCGTCCTTAGCGTGTCCCTCTTCACCATCATAGAGGGAAGAGTCATGATTCCTGCAAACGATAAGGCTCAGGGGCGTGGTTTATAGCACAGCTAAGATGGCTATTCACAGCAATTTTGCTATCGCGTGCCTTGTGCAGTTGGTGGAAATGCTGCCCCAGCAGAGACCACGCCTCGTCACACGCCCACTCGTTTGCAAGAGCCATGGCTGTATGTAGACGCGCTCCAGTGAGGAAGGTAGACCCTATTCCACCCATATCATCAGTGTGGACTGGACTTCAAGACAACGTTCAAATATCTAATGATACAGTAACATCACATATACTACTCCAGGTCAAATTGGTGCAGGAATGCATCGACTGGGCGACGGCAAATAGCCGTTTGTTCCTTCGTAGAACCCTAGAGGCACGGCTGATCCGTCTCTACAACGATATCGGACGCTATGTCGATGCACAGAAAATCGGTATAGTAAAAAAATCGATGATATATTCTCCCAAAAACTTCACCTGGCTCTCATTGTTGTCCTTTTAGCTGGTCCATTAGTTGCTGAACTGAAGAAAATCGAGGACCGTGAACTGATCATGGAGGTCACGTTGGAAGAAAGTAAAAGCGCGTTCGCTCTGAAAAACTTTGGGAAGGTCAACTCCTTCTAGTTTTCCTTGCGGATTCACAATGTCCCATCTGATTTATGTTCAGGCGAAAAACATCGTTGGTCCTAGCAAGAACCAATGCGAACGGTGCCTACGTTTCCACCCAGATGCAGGTGGGAAAGTGAAAAATGCAAAGTGGAAGACTTGAAAACCTTCGTCAAACGGGTGGGCGTGGTGAGCTATCTCACGGGATTCAGCATACTGGAGAATGGTCGCGGTGTCGATCTTCGCCTGGAGCCAAACCAGGCCTTCTTACCCTCCGGGACGGTAAATTGGCTACCAGATTTCGTCTGGGAGGAAATAACACTGACGTTATACATGGCTGCCACAAAGCCATTGTAAATAGGCCACATCGATTTTCAATAAAGCTCACTAACGATTCTGCAATGGTAGAAATGCATGCCGCATCCGACAAGGTATGATAAACAGCGAAATACTTTATCATTTATCCTTTTATCAATGGCGAGATCTGGATGTAGACATTTACAGTCGTCTAGTGAGAAGAGGGAACTCTGTTTGGTTGTTCTCATTCTCTTTTTGACGTGTTTCAGGCGGTGTGAACCTCTTCACCAAGCCCACCCTCATCGCCTGGACGCAATACCTCCCTTGTCGGCCCTTTGTTTTACGTCATGGGGTAGTGGCTAAGGGCACCGCAATGGCCGTCGCGGTTCATGGATCGAATCTGGCCCCTACTGTAACCCTTACCGTCACTTCTAAGTCACGCATTTGATAGCAGATCATATGGGAGGAATCTAGCCCAAATCGAGGTTTGGCTGTCCTTCCACTAGGCATGATACCGATCTCATCACTTGTGAAATTCTGAAGGAAAACCAATGCAGGGCGCATTCCAAAGGAATCGGCCAACCACAGATATTTTATTTTTAGGCAGCGCTCGACTTACAGTCAGGGATTCTCTATAGTGCTGACGAGAAGGACTTCAAGACAGCATACTCGTACTGCTACGAAGCCCTCGAAGGTTTCCTGATTGCTGATCCCCCTAAAGCAGTGCGCGCGCTCAAGTATATGTGCTTATGCAAGGTATTCTTACCATTAGAAAACTCTTTAAAATCGTTTCTTTGACTGACAGAGGTGATTCAGATAATGTTGAACGAAGCCGAATCAGTACCCCTGCTTCTCTCATCCAAGGTCACTCTTACTACATCGCGATAACTCAGTAATCGAAACAAAAGCTCTTGGGAGGGGCCACGCGGTGGCACGACTATAACACTTCATATCTTGTCCTGTCATGTCTTTGCTTACGCCACCTTTCTAGGTGAGAGGGGCCAGGCAAGAAAACATGATGTGGCATCGCGCAGCCGCGTGCCCTCCCCTCTAAACTGGATGTATGTCGTTAGCCCGTAGTTCTGAGGAGCGCGGCGAGAGGATATGGAAACGGGCCATTTCCATCAGGATCCAGCTAATATCCATCTGGTCTACGGACAACTTGAACTCAATCCCTTTGAACGCGTCGATCTTCTCTTTTTCTCTGCACTCTCTCGTCCGCATGGCACTCTATGGCCGTTGTGACTTCGCTCACTCCAGCTTTTCACCGACTATAAGTAGCTCACCCACCCCGGAGTCCCCTCCCCTTGAAAAATCCCATTTTT